AAAAATAACCAATCAGGGTAATCCTAGAGACGCGGAAGCGGGGTACAGACTGACAATCCCCTAAGGAGTGGGGAGATGGGGGAGGGATGAACCACAGAACTTATACGCATGTATGCATGAACAGTGGACATGGACAACAATCTGGGGAAGGGGCAGGGAGGGAGGGGGAGGGGGGAATCAGCGGGGGTGGGGGAGGAGAAACATCTGTAACAAAAATTAATCAATTAAAAAAAATAACCAATCAATTCATTTGAATTATTATAGTGTGAAAGTATATTGCTGTATAATATTTGTGCTTCTGTGTTCTATAACTAATTTTAAAAAAATATTTTTATTGATTTTTAGACAGGAAGGGGGAGGGAGAAAGAAAGAGAAGCATTGATATGAGAACATCAGTTGGCTGCCTCCTGCACGCTTCCTACCTGGCATCGAGTGCACAACCCTTTTGGTGCACAGGACGAAGCCCAACCAACTGAGCCACACCTGTCAGGGCTCTATGACTTATTTTGAGTTTGTTTTTTTTTTCCTTTTCCCTTTATTGATTTGAGAGAGAGAAGAAGTGAGAGGAAGAGAGAGAGAGAGAAATATTGATGAGAGAGAACATCGATTGGCCTCCTGCATACCCTGCACTGGGGATCGGGCCCACAACCTGGGCATGTGTCCTGACTGGGAATGGTACCGGTGACCTCTTGGTGCGTGGGTTGACGCTTAACCACTGAGCCACATTGGTCAGACTATTTTGACTTTTGGGTCAAGTTCCAATCTATGATGGCTAAATAAAATTAAACAAAATATCTAGCTAAGGTTACAGTTTGAAAGGGAACAATTATTTGCAAAGTAGCCATTATTTTACAGTCTGTGTAGCTACAAGAAGTGTTTCTTTAATGCCAGTTCAAACATGATTGGTGAATAGAGCAATGTTGTCAGTACATGTGGAGGTTGTGGAAGTTCCTATACTATTTTTCTTAGATAGTGAAGAGCAGGAATAGAAACAGAACCTTTAGCAGGAAGGAAAAAAGCCCTCAGCCAACCAGGCCAGCTCCCTTTCGGGTTTATTTTAAGAAAGTTAAAGTTAATAAAATTAAACTTGAGCACCCAGCTCAGTTCCCCAGAGGGCTTCATTCTCAGTGTTGATTTTCTCCAGTCCCTCCCTACCTTAAAGGCTGTCTCACCAGCTTAAAGCTCCACTTTTCTCTGGATTTCACAGCACCTGCAAGTGGGCATTTCCACTTGATTGTTTTGTTCATTTTAAATATTCCCTGAGGTAGCCTCTAGGTCTGAGCCACCTGCCTAGCTGCCCAGGTATTTCCTGAATACTAGTTACTGTTTTTCTTAGGGATATTTTTACAAAATTGTGTGTTTTTAAGTGGTTTGCCTCAACCTTCGTTTTTCCCAGAAGCTCTGTTTTGAGTGCGTGCTTTTACAGAAAGGAGATTTTTTCAGGAATGAGTATATTGTGGTATAGTTTAAAGACTCATATTTCCTTTGTGACAGCTTATTTAATATTTTCAAATAAAAATACCTTGCCCTGGTTGGTTTGGCTCAGCAGTTAGAGTGTCAGCCCGCGGACCAGAGAGTCCTGGATTCAGTTTCTGCTAAGGGCATGTACCTCGGTTGCAGTTTGTCCCCAGCCCCGGCTGGGGTTGTGTAGGTGGCAGCCAGTCGATGTGTCCCTCTCATGTTGATGTTTCTCTCTTCCTCCCTCTATCCTCTATCTGAAGACAAATGCAAAAAATGTCCTCGGATGAGGATAAAAAAACAAACAAAACTGTTCATCAAAAAAACCAAAGGATGCAGAAGTATGGATACTTTAAAAAGTTTCCCTTAATGTGCGTGCAGGCACAAGTGTGTGTAATGTGATCATAGAGAACATTTTATTGTGAGACTTACTTTTTTTTACATACTACAAATTATTTTTATTTCTGGTGTGAATGTGTCATAACTTTTAAAACTCTATCTTAATTGCCATTTAGATAATTTCTAAAATTTTAACTATTATAAACAGTGCATTGAACTTTCTTATACATATTATTGTGTAATTGAGTAAGTGTTAAGATAAGATTGACTTGTAGAAGTGAGGTTGTTGAATCTTGGTTTGTGTTCATTTAAATTTGTTAAATAATGACTAAATGCCTCTTCAAAAAAGATCTACTAATTTGTACTCCCATCCATAATGTTTAAGAAATTAATAGCTAGACATAATTTGCTAAACTACACATAGGTTTGGTCACCTGTAAATGTTTATTTCTTTATAATTTAGTCTCGGGGCCTATTTGAATATTGTTAGATCCAAAAATTTACTTTCAGAAGCATCAAGTTTAATATTGAAAAACTTAATAGTTATTTTCTTAACTTTTTTTTTTTTTTTATCCTCACCCGAGGATATTTTTCCATTTTTTGTACAGATAGAATGGGAGGGAGAGAGAGGAAGGGAGAGAGAGTGAGAAACATCGACGTGAAGGGACACATCGAGTGGCTGCCACCCGCACGACCAACCAGGGCCGGGGACAAACTGCAACCGAAGTACGTGCCCTTAGCGGGAACCGAACCCGGGTCTCTCCAGACCGCAGGCCGACGCTCCAACCGCTGAGCCAAACTGGCCAGGGCTTCTTAACTTTTTGTTTGAGTATTAAGGATGGCACAGGATAACAATGCTTAAGAATGGAGACAGTCACAGTTTGAGTTTGAACATTTGTGAGTTTGAACATTTTGTGCTTCAGAATGTGATTTTCCTTGTGTTTTTGTCTGAAAAAGTCAAGATTTTCCTCATTTTAAAATATTTTTTATTGAGCTATAACATACATGGGGCAGAATTATAAATGTATAGCTTATTGAATTTTCACAAACTAAACACGTACACTCGTGTAATCAGCTTCTGGACAAATAGGACATTGCCAGCCTCTTGAAATCTCTTGCATGATCCCATCTTGTCACTCACTGTCACAAAGGTTACCATTGTCCTAATTTACCATACTGTTGGTTCGTTTTGCCTGTATTTGAACTGTACACAAATGGAATCATACAGTATACTTCTTTTCTCAGTATTGTAAAGTTCATATTTTTGCATGAGATTTTACATTAATCATTTTCATTGTTATATAGTGTTCCACTGCATGAATAACTACAGTCAATTTACTCATTATGTTGTTGATAGGAATTTGGGTAGTCTCTAGCTTGGAGCTATTAGATATGGCAGCTGTCAGTGTTTTGAAATGCCCTAAGGTAAACATATATAGACATTTCTGTTGTTTATATATACCCCAAAAATGATCATAAGTAGGCATACATTTTGCTTTCACAGAAACTACCAGTTTCTTTCCTTCCATCCTAAAGTGAGTTATACCAGCCATCACTGATAGTTCAGTTGCTTCACATTCTTGACTATATTTTGTTGTTTCTTATTTTAGCTATTTTGGTGGATATAGTTTTAATTTGCCTTTCTCTGGTCCCTAGTGACATAGGACATCATATTTATTGACTGTTTTGATAACTTCATTTGTCAAGTACCCGTTCCAGAGATTACCTGTTTTTCTTTTGGGTGTCAATCTTGTTCTTATTGATTTTTTAGAAGATATTTTACATATTAGAGATATGTCCTTTTTTTAAAATATATATTTGACAGATTTTTTTTATCAGTCTGTGGGTTATCTTTTTACCTTCTATATAATATCGTGATGAACAAGTTATAATGTTAATGTTTTCCAGTTTATCAAGTATAGCATTCCAATATATCATTATATAATTTTTTTCTTTAGTGCTTTTTCGTGTTTTCAGAAATCTTTGCTTACTCCACAGTTTTGAAAGTATTGTATTTTCTCCTTAATGTTTTACTTTTCCCATTTAGAACTGTAATCCATCTGGAATGGTGTTTGTGTATGGTGTGAGGTAGAGGTCAAGATTCATTTTTTCCTGCATGTGGACATGACTACGCACTGTTATTCTTTCCCCACTGCACTGTTGTGTCACCTTTTTCATACATCAGGTTACAGTGTATGGGATGGATCTGTGACTGTAATTTTTTACATTGGCCAGTTTGTTTATCCTTGTACCAGTATTATACATTCTTAATTTATAAAGCTTTATGACAGTTCTTAATATCTGGTAATGTAATTTCTTCAGCTTTGAACCTTAAAATGGCTTTGATTGTCCTTGCTTGGTATTTCCCTATAAATTTTAGAATTTAAATTTGTTAATTTTCCCAAGAAAACCTGCTGGGATTTTATGTGGCCTCTAAAGACTAAATTGAGGACAATAGACATCTCGAAAATATTGAGTTTTTCAATTCATAAGCATAATATATTCCTTCATTTATTTAGATCTTTAAGTTCTCTCAGTGAGCACTGAAAGACTTACCTCTAGATTTATAATACAAATCTGTAGTCATTAATAAGACTATGTGGTATTAGCCCTGGCTGGGTAGCTTAGTTGGCCAGATCATTGTCTCAGTATGCCAAGGTTGTGGGTTTGATTCCCAGACAGGGCACATACAAGAATCAGCCAATGACCAGCTAGTGTGGCTCACTGGTTGAGTGTGACCCATGCACCAAGGGGTCGCTGGTTTGCTGGGCACCTGCCCAGGTTGTGGGCCTGATCCCCAGTGGGAGGCATGCAGTAGGTAGCCAGTCGATGTTCTCTCGATATTTCTTTCCCTCTCTCTCTAAAATCAATAAAGAAAAAACATTAAAAAAAAAAAAAAAAAAAGGAATCAACCAATGAATGAATGAGTGGAACAGCAAATCAGTGTCTCTGTCTCTCTCCTCCCCCCCCTTTTCCTTTCTCTCTTAAATCAACAACAACAATAATAATAATAAAAAAAAACAATGTGGTATTGATGCAAGTATATCTAAGGAGTCCAGTGAAAAGGACTAGAAAGTCTAAAGCCAGGATGATCAGAATTTGTTTTATTTTATTTGATGTTTTAATTGACAAGTTCATTAGAGTATAAAGTAGTACAATCTTAGGTGTTATTTTACCAAGTATCTCTTTTACTTTTCTCACAGGTGTGGACCATGTTTAAGGATTGCCCCAGCATTCAGTACTATGAGTAATAAGTACCCACAGGCAGTTTTCTTGGAAGTAGATGTACACCAGTGTCAGGTAAGGGAAAGGAGCCCTTTTTAAAAAATTATTTACAAATTGGTTTGAATTTCAATATTAATATCATTCATTGTTTATTTTTGTGTGTGTGTGCATATAGTACTCTTTCCTTTTGAAGATTAGAAAATGTTATGTTGATAATGATTATTACAAATGCTCATTATGGCTGCATTTGTTAGGAAGGGTAGTTCAATGATTAATTGCTTCTGAGTTTGTTTATATTAATAGCTTTCTGATATAAAAGTAATATTATGTTGTTAAACTAATAGGTCACCTGGCACTTCTGTGTTGTTTTACATTTCTTTATTTTTTCCAAATCTAGAATTATATCTTCTACTTCAGAAGCATTGGCTGATTAGAAGGCTGTAGCAGAAAATTCTTGATTATACAGGGTGTGACAAACGTAGGTTTACAGTTGTGAGTAGAAACACAGAATTTATTCTTGTATTATTATTTATTATTGTATTATTTTCCATTTGAACAACTGTAAACCTACTTTTGCTCCACCCTGTAGTTTGATTTTCATTGATCAGTTTGTAATTTTAGCCACAACGCTGGCTACTCAGCAGGAACTTTAAAATGTTGGTTACTTTTGATTGAGCCACAGTGTTAGAGGTAGATTGTCTTGATTACTTAGCTGGAATGGCTGTGTGATAGTTCTGCATTTCCATATGTAGAAATATGGATGAGTTGCTCTCTCCAATACTACAAATACAGTCTTTGGCTCTGACTAAAGACAGCACTGGAGCTACTGTGTGTGTGTGTGTGTGGGGGGGGGGGGCTTTGTTGCATTTCTGAGTGTGAAAAAGTTCTAGAATGTTATATAGTGTGTAGTTAGTAGTTTGGGGATTTGGTAAGTGTAAACCCTATATTAACCTTCATTGTTTAGTAGTTATGTCATATATTATTGGACTGCAGTCATTATTTTAAGTATTTACCATCTCTAATCTTCCAGAGCAATGCTGTCCTGTAGCTACATTTTTTACTTGTTTCTCTTTTTTATTGTGGATACTAGAAAATTTTACATTACATATATAGCTCACATTTGTGTCTTACATTGTATTTCTCTTGGACAGCACTGTTCTGAAAGGTCTGTCTTTTTTAAAATGACACTTAAAGAAGACATCTTTATGTAAACTTTATGCCTTTTTTCTTTAAATAATAGGGTGAAACATGTTCATAGTATTTGAACATGTAAGGAGATACACTTGCTTTACTGTTTCCTTTATAATTCTCATGAATCAGTGGTTATTAACTAATTTCCATTCACTGGTTGGTCTTATAATAATTGTGAGGTTGGAGCAGAATTTAAAAAGTTAGCTGTTGTATGTTTGGTGCAATATCAGAAGTCACTTCTATAAGAGTAGAACTGGTGAAGATTGTAATGCAAAGGATGTTACCTTATTTTCATGGTCAGATGGGCTACTGTTTTTCAGATGTGTATTTTTTCCTAGCCCCAGTGGTTTGTGCTGACATATCAATACCCATTTGGGAGCAGTAGTTATGAGAGAGCTATCTGGTATTGTAAAGAAATTTCTCTATGTCACACTAACTGTTCTACTAGATGAAGTATTTAGCACTAATACTGATAAAAAGACAGGGCTATTTTTCATTGTGGATGTAAAGCTAATAATATAATGTAGTTGTGCCTCAATGGGTTATGTAGTTTAGGGAATAGGCTGCTTTTTCTGAAGTAGCAATTAGAAATAAATTATTTTACATGTCTTTAGTCCATACTTGTGATATTTAACTTCCATAGAGAGACAGAATAAATATTCAAAGTGGTTTATGATTAGTTTTAATTCATAATGCCATCTAACTTGCTAATTCTAGGGAACAGCTGCCACCAACAATATATCAGCAACACCCACGTTTTTGTTTTTTCGAAACAAAGTGAGAATTGATCAATATCAAGGAGCAGATGCTGTGGGACTAGAAGAAAAAATCAAGCAGCACTTAGAAAATGACCCTGGAAGCAATGAGGACACAGATATTCCCAAAGGCTATGTATGTAGACTTGAAAGTGAAATCATGATATACTTCCATTTGCCATTATTTGGTTCAAGTAAAACTGACTATGTTTTCATGCTTTACCTTTTATTAGTTCAGAATACTTTCAAATAAGTTTAAAAGTATATTCACTGGCTGACTATTGGGATCTGTTTATGTGTGTGTATTATAACCTTAGCTCCCATCATAAACTATTTTGCTGAATTTCTTCTAATTTTCTTTGTTACTTAAATCTACTTTCTGAAATTTTTTAAGGCTTTTAAAAATACATTTTACCCCCCCAAAAGTAATGTGCTAGTTATTTTGTTTTAGAACCAAATATGACTTGAGCATTGGATATGTTTTTCTAGTTTTAAGAGTAAGTTATTATTCTAATAACTTGAAGACTTAAGAACTTAAAAGTTTTTAAAAACTTATATGAATAGTTATAATGCAATGTTTATATTTGAGAGTTATTCAGGGAGTAAAATTCATAAGTAGCACTTTATTCATAAGTAGCTGATCTATTTATAAAAAGTGGTAAATAAAGTTACTGTATTTAAAAAGTGTTACCTCAAATTAAAGCTAATATATGAAAGCATGTGTATCAAGTACATTAAAGCAGATCTGTGTCATTGGGTTACAGTCCTGTGTGTAAGTCCCTTAAATTCATTCTGAATACAGAGAATCTATACTCATGGGACTATGAGAGAGAGAGAGACAGAGAGAAAGAGAGAGTATGAATGTGTGTGTTGGGGTTGTGTCTTCAAAAAGTGACTTTAACATGTACTACTAACATTAATTCTTTTTAGTTAGGGAAGTACAATTAATATTTATTTTAAATAGAACTGTTATATAATAATTAGACATTGTAATATCTGGTTAGAAAGTATGAATATATTGTAAGTCAGGCTTGTGACACCTTTTGGAAAATTTTGGAAATCATTTGACTTGTAAACTGTTGTGTTTACATCTTTGTATTTTTCCCCCTTTATTACTAAGGGTATTTGCATGAAAACATCTTAAGAACACAACAGTCCTGCTGCTTAGCTACAGGGATACTTCTTTATACATCAGCTAAGTGTGATGTCAGTGTTTTGGCCTCAGGTAGGAAAATAAGCAGGAAAAAATAAAGTTTTAAGAAATAAAACAATTAGTTTTCATGCAAATGTTATGAATAAAATGTGAAAAGCTATTAAAACATTTTCATTTTTTCCCATCTGGTGTCAATCAAGACATTAAAAGTTTGAACTATTAAGATCTTAACAGGGTTATTAAATATTTAATACTGATAATGTGTTCCCAAAAAACATTTGTCCCACAGCACAAACAGAAACTTAATGGGGGTAAGAGACACTGAATGAAAACCTGTGTCTTAAGTAGATTTAAATATAAGCATTATAAAAATGTATTGATAATTTTTAAATATAATTTTTGGTTTCTTGGAAGAAAGATTTTTGTCATTATGTTTTAGTACTAAAAGGCTATGCATTTATTTATTTTATACATGCTATTGTTTTGAAACTCCTAATTTGACTGGAGCCAGAGTAGGATAAATGTATGTATCTCTTTTAGGGAGGTTTGAGGTACTCCAAAAGATACTCAAAAGGTTAAGAATCATAATTGATTCTTATTTAGAAGTAAGAGAGTGTTTTTATGAGCATAAGGACTTAATTTTTTTTAGTGTTTATTGAAGTTGAGAAAATTTAAAACATTGTATTTTTTCTCTCCCATAATTTGCTAAGAGTACATAGTATAGGTTCAAATAGCTCCCACATGCCCTTTAACTTAAGTCTTTCTCTTCCAAAATTTGAATGTGAGGCAGTCTCAAATTAAACTTGTATTTGAGGCTTGTTAGTATATTCTAGTGTTTTGACCTCAGAACTATAAGTTTTGATCTACAAATTTGTCCTTCTTTATCAAAATAAAAAATCAGACATTAAATAACCCTAATTCATATAATAAATCTTCCTTTAACAAAAAACTTGAAGACTGGAAAGGTTTTTGTAACTGTCTGTGTATCTCATGTATTTCCCCCTCTCTACAAAATAATAATAATAATAACAATAATTTAAAAAATAGTGAAACTTGCCTAAAAGAACAACAGTTGCCTGCCTGACCAGTGTGGCTTAGTGGATTGAGCGGTGTCTCAGGACCGAGGCGTCCTGGCTCAATTACCATTCAGGGCACATGTCGGGGTTGCGGGCTCAGTATCCAGCTAGGGGCATGCAGGACGCAGCCGATCAATGTTTCTCACAACCATGTTTCTATCTCGCTCTTCCTTCCTTCCTCTCTCTCTCAAAAAAATCAATAAAAACATTAAAAACCAAACATGAGTATTACCACAAACACATTCCCTTCACCTATGTTCATCAGTTGTAAATATTTTGCTGTTTTTACTCCATCTTGATATCTATTTTTAACTTTTGCAAAAACATTTAAAAGTGAATTATAGACATCATGATGGATCATCTCTCAGTCTTTTAGTATGTAGCTGCACAGAACAAGGACATTCTTTTACGTAACCATGATAGCATTATTACTTCTAAGAAATTTAACATTGATGCAATATAATATACAACCTACATTCACATTTCCTTAATTATCTTCATAATATACTTTATAGCTGTTTTCCTCTATGTAGTAGCAAATCAAGGATCATGCATTGCATTTAAGTTGTCAGTTCTCTCTAGTGTTTTTTAGTCTAGAAATTTTTCTCTGCCTTTTTTTTCTTTCATGACTGCCTTTTATGAAAGTTTAAACCAGTACCAGTCTAATATAGTAGCCACTAGGCACAAGTGGCTATTGAGCATTTGTTATGCGACTAGTGCAACTGAGGAACTGAATTTTTAAATTTTATCTACGTTTAATTAATTTAATTTTAAATTGCCACATGTGGCTAATGGCTATCTTATTGTATAGCTCAGGTCTAGACATCTGTCTTATAAACTGTCCCACAATCTGGATCTGTCTGATTGTTTCTCTTGACTCTTTCCTCATGATTGGCAAGTTGTTACATATATAGGTGATACTTATTTCCCACTGCATAGTTTCAGAAAAATCTTTGACAGTTATGTCAGATATACCATATAATGCTCATTTTTTTGAGATGTACAAAGCACATACAACTGTTTGAATGTAATACTTGTTTTGTATGCCCCATATTACAGAAATCTAAAATAATTCACCTAGTTTATTTTCATCATTAAGGTATTGAAAGTATGACTACAATGTTGTTTTCATGCCTAGAATCTTAATCCGAGGTACAGTGTTGAAACTGCACCTCAGAAGGATGGAAGACCTAAGCATTTAAAAGATTTTGTTAGAACTACCCTTTCAAGGCAAATACTTATGAGCTTCAGCATAATTTTCCATAGAGAATTATGTTAACCAATTGTAGCTCCTAAGAACAAGAACATTATTCTATATAACCATGATAGCATTATTAACTGATGAACATAATAGTCCATTCTCCATAGAACTTTGCTCTATAGTGCTTTTTTTTTTTTAACCTCCCCCACTCTTTTGAATTGACTACAATGTTACACTAAGTAATATGTTTAACATTTAATTTAATGTAATACAAAATAACACTTTGGCTTTGAAAACACTTAGGCCACCACATGAATAATTAGGGTCTATTCTAATAGATTATTACCATATTGATAATTATTTGACATATAAAAAAGTTTTCTTTAGTCTTTCAGAACTATTTATATATACATTAATATTTCTGGATATAAAAATAAGGACTGACAGAAAGGTGAACATGTAACTGACAACCTATAATACTTGGTAAACTTTAAAAATTGTCCTTGTTTAGTGGATGAAATGGAACTTTTCTAGAAAAATACAGTGCATCAAAATCAATTCTACTAGAAGCAGAATGCTTAAATAGACCATTCACTGTAGAGGAAATAGAGAAAACATAGAAAATAGTAAAAGAGCTCTTCCATAAAGGCCAAGATGGCTTTACAGGGGAATTCTACCAAATCTTAAAGGTCAGGTAGCTTAGTGTTACTTCTACTACATAAGACCATATAAAAAGAGAGGAAACTTTCTGCTGACTAGTTCCAGTTAGGAATATTATTGTAAAAATTCTTTTTTTTTTTTTTAATTATATCTTTATTGTTGAATGTATTACAGATGTTCCTCATTTTTCACCCATTGACCCCCTCCTCCCCACTTTCGTCCCCCTCCTTGCCTTTTCCCACACTGTTGTCTGTGTCCATTGGTTATGCATATAAGTTCTTTGGTTTATTTCTCCCCACCCCCCAATCCTCCTTCCCTTTGAGGTTTCTCAAGTCTAGCAACTAATTTGTACTTACTTCTTAATCCCTTCACCTTTTTCACCCATTCTCCCATCCCCCCTCCCATCTGGCAACCAACAAAATGTTCTCTATATCTATGAGAATGTTTCTGTTCTGCTTGTTCATTTTGTTTGTAGATTCAATTGTTGATGGCTGTATATTCATTGCCATTTTGTTTGTTCATATTTTTTTATCTTTTTCTTCAAGAAGACCCTTCAACATTTCATATAATAATGGTTTGGTGATGTTGAATTACTTTAGCTTTTCCTTGTCTGGGAAACTATATGGCCATCAATTCTAAATGACAGCTTTGCAGGATAGAGTAATCTTGGTTGTAGGTTCTTGCTTTTCATCACTCTGAATATTTCTTGCCACTCCCTTCTGGCCTGCAAAGTTTCTTTTGAGAAATCAGCTGACAGTCTTATGGGAACTCCCTTGTAGGTAGGTAACTGCTTTTCTCTTGTTGCTTTTAAGATTCTCATTTTGTCTTGAACCTTTTGCATTTTGATGATGATGTGTCTTGGTGTGGGCCTCTTGGGGTTCATCTTGTTTGGGACTCTCTGTGCTTCCTGGATGTGTATGTCTGTTTCCTTCACCAAGTTAGGGAACTTTTCTGCCATTATTGTTTCAAACAGGTTTTCGATTTCTTGTTCTCGCTCTTCTCCTGGCATCCCCAAGATGCGAATGTTGGCACGCTTGAAGTTGTCCCAGAAGCTCCTTACTCTGTCCTCATTTTTTTGGATTCTTTTTTCTTTTTGCCGTTCTGATTGGGTGTTTTTGCTTCCTTAGATTCCAAATCGATGGTTTGCTTCTTGACTTTACCTACTCTACTATTGAATCTGTGTAAATTATTCTTTATTGCAGTTAGTGCTTTCTTCATTTCTGACTATGCATCCTTCAGTTCTGACTGGTCCTTTTTTATGCTGTTGAGGCCCTCACTAAGTTTGCTGAAGTTCTCACTAAGTTCATTGAGCATCCTTATAAGCAGTATTTTGAACTCAGCATCTGTTAGGTTGCTTATCTCCATTTTGCTTAGTTCTTTTCCTGGAGTTTTGCTCTGTTCTTTCACTTGGGACCTGTTTCTTTATCTCCTCATTTTGGCTGCCTCTGTGTGTTTGTTTCTATGTATTTCTTAACGAGAGGTATGGGGCTAGCTGAGACTAGATGCTGCTCGTTTGAAAGAATTTAGGAAAACCTGAAGCAGGATCCAAGACAGGCCAATCCTATGGTTAAGCAACTGGCAACAGCTTGGGTGGGCCTGAAAGTTGGGCGGGGCGGGGCCTCAGGGAGTCACCAGGGCGGGGCTCCCAGTGTGAGCCAGGTTGCTGGAGTCCCAGATATGGGGGCTGTCTGCAGCCCCAGGGAAGGGCTCACCAAAGGAACAAAGACCTCTAACAGCTCTTTTGTCCCTGAGAAAGCCCCTTCTCCAGCCCTTGCTCCAGTGCCAAACAGCTCAGTTCTTCCCTGTATGTCTCTGGCGCCCCTCAAGCTGCCTCCCCTCCAAGCTTAGAGGGAGAGAGTCCGATAAGTCTGTGCGCGGGCCCTTTAAGGAGCTGCCTGGGGCTCCAGCGGCCTCAGCCTCCCTGAGTCTCAGTTCCCGCTGGTTTTCCAGCCAGAAGTTATGGGAACTTCTCTTCCTGGCACTGCAACCCTGAGCGGGGCACCTGGTGTGGGACGGGGACCCCCTCAGTCCTCAGGGAGGACCTTCCCAGCCGAGGTGTCCTCCTGATTTTTATCCGCCACACGTGGGTGTGGGACCAGCTCGTCCCCTCTGCCCTCCTACCAGTCTCCTGTGGCTGCTGCTTTAATTCCGTAGTTGTAGGACTTATATTCAGCTTGATGTCAGGCAGTTTTGAATGATGGTTGTTCTGTAGTTTAGTTGTAACTTTGCTGTGGTTGTGGGAGGACATGATACCGCGTTTACCTACCTGCCATCTTGACCGGAAGTCTAAAAAATATTAAGTAAAATATTAGTAAACAAAGTCCCACAATTCAGAGGAGAAAAATCATGATCTCATAACATGCAGAAAAGGTATTTGACAAAATTCACTACCCATTTATTATAAAGTATTCATTAAAATCTCAATGGGGAAGCACTAAAGTCAGAAACAAGACAAGGATGACCATTGTCATTACATCCATGCACGCAGTGTTGGAAATACGGCAATATTAGCTAATAGCAGGTATACAGGAATATGTTAACTGACACCACAGGGAAGCAGTAGGCAAAATTCAGAATATTAGAAATCTGTAGGCTAAATGACTAAAATAAGAGATTTAAGAGATGTGTTAACCAAGTACAGTCAGTGCTTTTTAAAATCCCTTTTCTGAGTCTAACAATTCAACTGTGAAACATTTGTGAGACAGTTGAGGACATTTTTTTTATCCCTTCACCCTTTTCAGACAACTGAGGAAATTTAAATACTGATATTTGATGGTGTTTTTGACAGTATTATTTTTTGTTTTAGTTACGATAATGATATTGAGGATTTTAAAAAATGAGTTCTTGTTGCTTAGAAATGTATATTGAAATGTTTGAGTAAATGAAAAAAAGTCTAAGATTTACTTGAAAATAATCGGGACTGGTTGGGGACTGGTTGCAGGGTAAAGATGAAATAGGAGTGAGCATGAATTGGTGTTTAGTGTAGCTGAGAGGTGGGTGCATGGAGTGCTGGTCATCTTTACTCTGAGGTCTTCACAGACATAGGTTTAAAGGGTCCATGACCAGTTGAAGAGGGAGGTAGGCTTTCTTTGGATCTTACAGATATTTTAATTTGCACATTTTCCACTCTAAAAATACCAATATTAAAAATGTGTATCAGTCAGTATTTTATAATCTTAATGTTAGGAACTTGGTTTCTGATACCTTATCATGTGGGGTAAGCCTAGATTTGGCTTTAATAATTAGTGGTGAATTCAATTGAAATTCAAATGGAAGGATTATTATTAAAGTGTTAATCACTATTTTAAAAGAAATAGACTTTTTTTTTTTTTTATTGCCTAATCTAGAGAGAATCACATATTTAAGTTTTTTACTTAGGTTTTTATACCAAATCCAAATGCTTTGCCTAACGTCTTGATTTCATTTTTCAGATGGATTTAATGCCTTTTATTAACAAAGCTGGCTGTGAATGTCTTAATGAAAGTGATGAGCATGGATTTGACAACTGTTTACGAAAAGACATGACCTTCTTGGAATCTGATTGTGATGAACAGGTAATTGGATGTCTGAGTTAAGGCTGTGGGGATTATCAATATTTATGCCTATTCTTGTTTCTTTATCATATTTCCATCTCGTGGTTTTATGTTTCTGTTTTCCAGATGACTGCTGTTCCTTTCCTTTGTAAAACTTTGATTTCCTTTGACCCTTCTCATTTTCTTTGTTTCATGCAAGCTGCCAGGTGCACTAGGCAGAATTGCAGAACTCTTGGGTTGGTGCCCTGCTGAGTTGAACCTTCACCATTCTTTAGTCCTTTTGTTCATTCTGACCTGCCTTTTGTACCTTTTACTCACTGGAAATGAGCACTCCCTATACGTTTAGTCCTCGCTCCCAATGTAAACCTGTATTGTACTTCCCTGCGTTATTGCCATAGAGGAATAATGTAGTACTGCCTTGATCAGCCTTCTTTCATCTTGACTGTTACTTTCCTAAATTTCCTTTCTATTCCTGACTCTGCTTTGTCCTATTCCAGTTCATTATCTACATGTTCACAAAAGCTGTTTTTTCTAAATATAAATCTGATCAAGTTTTTTTTCTTAAGAGTTAAATGATTCTTCACTGGCTTCAGGAAGAAGGTGTTAGATTCTTCCTGACTTGATCTGTTTCTAGCTTTTACTCTCTTCTCCCTTTCACCTGTGGTTCAGGTCCCTAAATATGTCATGCTTGTTATTTATGATACACTATTACAAGTCAAGTATAAAAAGTACTTATATCACCAAAGAATATGGTCTAGGTATTTTCTTAGGCAGACGTACCACAATGATTGTAAAATCATAAATCTAAACCCCATTTTCTTTGCTCCAACCAGAGCTACCTTACTGTATAACTTTGAGAATATTATTCACACTGTGTTCCTTGTATAAATGGTATTCTGAATATAATTTGATATCAGCAGGATTGGTTACAGCTTTCCTGAGATCTTCCTGCCAGGGAAATCTTCTTCCCAGGGTAGAAGCATCAGTACCTACACCAGACACAATTTTGGCTGGGAAGATGATAAAGCGAATGAGTTTGAGTTTCTGAGACATTGGCATTGTGTCAGTGTTTTGTATGTTATCTTATGTAACCTTCCAAATTCAGTTAGTGAAATACTTTAAGGGTGGAGGTTTGGAGGCAACTGTAGACTGTAACAATCCTCTTTTCTTCAGTTTTGGATCACATAGAGTCCATTTGAGGGCTAGTCTCTCCATATAACCTGTGCATTGTCTCCAAATTTTTAAGTTACATGGGTAGATACTTGACAAATAACCATCCTAGAAAATATTAAGCTTATATGCTAACATAAATAGTTCAAATTTTATTTTAATTTGGGAATTTTGTTTGGGTTTTAGAAAGCAGATTGCTTTTTATTGGTCACAAGACCTTAGGTTCTTTTTGTTGTTGTTAATCCTCATTCAAGGATATTTTTCCATTGATTCTTAGAGTGGGAGAGAGGGGGGGGGGGGGAGAGAGAGAGAGAAACATTGATGTGAGAGAGACACATGGATTGGTTGCCTCCTGCATGTGCCCCAACCAGAGCCAGGGATCGAACCTGCAACGCAAGTACGTGCCCTTGACTGGAAATTGAACCTGAGACCCTTGGGGCCGACGCTTTAACAACTGAGCTACACCGTCCAAGTTGACTTTAGGTTCTTATGCTAATTATCCTTTAAATTTTTTGTTTTTATTCTCTCTTTTTTTTTTTAATCCTCACCCGAGGACATTCTTCCATTTTTTGTTCAGATAGAGCGGGAGGGAGAGAGAGGAAGAGAGAGAGAGAGAGAGAGAAACATCAATGTGGAGGAACACATCGAGTGGCTGCCACCCACACGACCAACCAGGGCTGGGGACAAACTGCAACCGAGGTACGTGCCCTTAGCGGGAACCGAACCCGGGTCTCTCTGTACCGCAGGCGGACGCTCCAACCGCTGAGCCAAACCGGCCAGGGCGTGTTGTTATTCTCTTATGTGAATAATATATATTGTATTTTTCAAATGTCAGTCTAATCAAGTTACTTTCAACTTACTGATTTTACTTATTACATTGGTTTTATTAGATGAATTGAAAATTTTTTGCCTTTGAATTAATTCTACTTAGCTGTTGTGTGTATTCAAGGTGTTCAAGAGCCCTTTTAAAATGAAATTATTTTCTTCACAGCTTCTTATTACTGTGGCATTCAATCAACCTGTTAAGCTTTATTCAATGAAGTTTCAAGGGCCAGATAATGGTAAGTAATGGACAGTTTTTCTCTCAGCTAACTTTCTGATCTGTAGACCTGTTAGCAGGTCTACCTCTGTTTATTCAATAGGAGTAAATAGTCCTTGTTTTGGGAGTGAAATTGTTTTTGGAACAAGCAAGGATATAAATGAATGGGCAAATAATGTGAGATTTAGCCCTGGCTGGTTTGGCTCAGTGGTTGGAGCATCGGCCTGTGGACCAGAGAGTCCTGGGTTCGGTGTCCGCTAGGGGCACGTACCAAAAAAAAAAAAAAAGAATAAATGAATAAAATAATGTGAGATTTATTTCTGTAGTTTTTAATTTTAAAATTTAAGTTTCCTCTTAATCTGAAATTAAATGAACCCTTTATTTCAACTATGACTCTAAAAATCTAACTTCAAAGTAGCTATTTTTTAGGATCAGAACTGGGAGATATTTATTTCAAACTCCTATTACAGATGATGAAACTAAGGCTCTAGAATCTAGAGTCTAGGTGGTCCTATTTGTGCCCTATGAATCGATTCATATTCTTTATAGTATGATGCTGTGACATGACTGCACAAACTTGACATTTCTCTTTTTTTAAATAAAGAATTTTCTTTATCCCCCCCCCCCTTTTTTTTTCTGTTTCTGGAGGGTTTTTTGTTGTTGGTGGTGTGGGCTGGACTGGGGGGAGGGTGGAGAGAGTAGGGACTAGATGTTTTTTTGGTTTTGTTTTTTACTTGATTGGAAGAAACAGCACCCTATTAATGAAACTGTGTCATTCTGAAAATACAGTGTTTGCAAAAACAAGTGCTATAGAAACAAGTATTTTAAGCAATGTGAATATTTTAAGATTCTTTAATCAGCCAGAAAATATAGGTTTAGCTTGTACCCTGAAGTTGAAGGGACTAAGACTTTATAAATGTGTTTTTATCACTGAGCACATGCTAATTTCTAACATGAAATTTGGCAGTTTGTATAATTAATCTCCTTTTGGCTAATGGTATCACTGATAATGCTTTCCTCCTAAGTAACAAAATGTACCAATTGTTGGCAAATGTTACTTCTTTTATGAAACTTGTTAACATGCGTATACTGTCAGACTCCATGTGCTGTCAGACTTCGTTGCTATTTTCCCTATGCCTCCTCAGTAATAGTATTACATTGACATAGTACATCTTTCCTAGTCTAGGGCAAGAACTTTGTGTGTGTGGGTGCATATATGTTTTTAATCTAGAATTTCTACAGTATAATTCTGGCAGGCCAAGAAATGACTATAATAATATTCAGACCTTCTTAGAATTCCTAAAGAGATATATTTGCATATATGTGTCTGTTTTATAGTATAAATGTAATAATAAAGGAAAGAAAATATATGTTTGGTTTTTAGTATTTTATTTTGTTTCTACTGTATTACAGGTCAGGGTCCTAAATACGTAAAAATTTTTATCAATCTACCCCGATCTATGGATTTTGAAGAAGCAGAAAGAAGTGAACCAACTCAAGCTCTGGAACTAACAGAGGATGATATTAAAGAAGATGGCATTGTCCCTCTTCGTTATGTTAAGTTCCAGAATGTTAACAGTGTAACTGTAAGTAGCATTTCTTTAAGATATATTTAATGGGTGTATGGATGACAATTTACACATATTTAGTGATTCTAAATGATCCTTTAAAGTAGTTATTTGTTCACTTGGTTTGAAAAGAGTATAAATGTATAATAAGCTAATTAAACTTTCTTTTTAATTTATCTATGTGCCTTAAGGGAAGGATAGATTGATATTTTTAAAATTTGTTGATTTGTCAGTTTACTTATTTGATATATATTCTAGAATATTTATACTTAAACTGAAGATATTTGTGCTTTATTAGTCATACCTGGTAATGGGTGACATATTTGTAAAATCAATGTACTTTTCTAGAATACTGAGGTTTTGATAATGTAGGGTCATGATCTCAATAAAAATGACTTAAAAAGATAATTTAGCCCTGGCCGGTTTGGCTCAGCGGTTAGAGCGTCGGCCTGTGGTACCGAGAGACCCGGGTTCGGTTCCTGCTAAGGGCATGTACCTCGGTTGCAGTTTGTCCCCGGCCCTGGTAGGGTCATGGGGGATGTGTCCTTTTCACGTCGATGTTTCTCTCTTTCTCTCTCTCTTCCTCTCTCTCCCTCCCAGTCTATCTGAACAAAAAAATGGAAAAATGTCCTCGGGTGAGGATAAAAAAAAAGATAATTTATGTTTATTTACATTAAGAAGTTTGCTGCTACTTAGCAGTTATTAATTGCTTTTGTAAATTTTGGTATTGAAACCCAGCACATGTTCTCTACCCCTAGTCTAAGTCCTTCAGTGGAGGGAACAGAAGGTTAGAGTAGAATAATAAAATACCTAGAAAAAGAACTGAAATCAACAGAGTCACTGAAAACAAGTCATGCCAAACTACTGTGATCTTTTTTTTTTTTTAATCCTCACCCGAGGACATTTTTCTATTTTTTGTTCAGATAGAGGGAGAGGGAGAGAGAGAAATATTGGTGTGAAAGGGACACATTGAGTGGCTGCCTCCCGCACGATCCAACCAGGGCCAGGGACAAACTGCAACCGAGGTACATGCCCTTAGTGGGAACCGAACCCGGGTCTCTCCAGACCGCAGGCCAACTCTCTAACCACTGAGCCAAACCGGCCAGGGCCTGATGTGATTTCCTTGTTTTAGGGGAATGAATCTGGGTTTTGTAAGTTAGAGGAATGCTATAGCATGTGTTCATAATATCCCTTTTGGCTTTATTTAGTGATGGGAGGAAGGCAGTTGTTTATTGCAAAAGCCCTTTCAATCCAGAGATCCTGATGCAGTCTCCTCTGTCATTGGAATCATGAACATAGTTGTCTCTAGATGGGCTCAAGTCTTTGTGTACTGTGTCCTATCTCAGTCAAAATTTCAGTTAAGACTCAGAGAGCATGTCTGTCGTTTACTTTTGGTGATAAAATTAAATTGAAATGACAGTTTTGATCAGAAGGTCTAATCAAAGTAAGTGGGTGAATTTTAAAAGCAGTAAATATAAAAACTGTTGTGCTTAGATTCAAAGAGCATTACAAGAAAATCAGTGGAGAGCTGGTTCAATAGTTACTAATTATAGACTTGGAGTTTTTAATTAATCAGCTCAGTTTGAGAGGACTCTGTGGTTGCCTGTATACAAATGACAAAAACTGACTGGTGAATGCCACCTGAGAATGAGAGGAGTGCTGTCCAGATCAAAGTAGGCAGTGTTATTAAGTAGACAGCAGCTAGAGTGTTGTGTTCTAAAGTATGGAGCAAATTAAAAAATAAATCCAGTATACTGGGAAAGGAACTGTGGGTAAGCTTCTTTCTTCTAACATGCAGAGGCGGGTTTTAAATAGAGAGTATAAGTAGTCCAGTTGAAATAAATATGTAGGGCATAGTGGAGTTTTAGGAGCTGACTTCCAACACTATTTTTTCTTTTCTAGTATTCTAGGACATTGAATGAATGAATATCAGAAAGAATATAACTGCAGAAATATTCCTCAGTGAAAAATGAGTTTTTATAAAATTTCAACAGGACTCTGCCAATTGTATTCGTGAATTTCATACTCTTTCAACATCCGTTGCAAACACTTATGACCCCTTCACAGTGTCACACTAAGTTATCAAGAACTTGTGTGTGTGGGTGCTTTGCCATGACACCCTGGGGTAGAGGAGAACAGCAGGAACACAGCGGGATTCATAGTCCTGTAGGAGTGCTAGACTAAGTGTAATTTGGATCAATCCTTATGAGAGGGGAAAGCATATTTATTAGTTATCTAAGGAAATTGATTAAACTGAAAGCATTTTTATGAAAGAAAGGATTGTAATCATGACTGTGAAAATTACTATTATTTTTTGGTAGATATTTGTTCAGTCCAATCAAGGTGAAGAAGAAACAACAAGAATTTCATATTTTACTTTCATTGGTACTCCAGTCCAGGCAACAAATATGAATGACTTCAAACGAGTAAGTTTGTTGAAATGATATTTAGGGGAAGTAAAATTTTAATTTTAAAGAAATTTTATAAATACCAAAATTATATCATGTTATGAAATTTTATAAGGTTTGACTAGAACAGTAAGTTCTCCTAATCACATATAATCACATATTTAGATATCCAACTACAAAAAATATCTAATAAAAATGATAAGTCCTATTGATACAGTGTCTGTTAATGAATTATATCCAATTAAAAAGGTAAAAATAATTGGTTACAGAAAGTAGTTAGGAGTAATGGAAAAATAGTAAGGGAAATCATCATTATTCATGAGTTTTTAAGAACTATTGATGTTAAGATTTGGATTTTCATTGTTTCTGATGAAAATATTTAAAATGACTTGTAGCTCTGGCCGGTTTGGCCCAGCGGTTAGATTGTTGGCCTGCGGTCCAGAGAGACCCAGGTTTGGTTCCTGCTAAGGGCATGTACCTTGGTTGCAGTTTGTCCCCGGCCCCGGTTGGGGTTATGCGGGAGGCAGCCACTTGATGTGTCCCTTTCACATCAATGTTTCTCTCTCTCCCTCCCACTCTATCTGAACAAAAATGGAAAGAAGTCCTCAAGTGAGGATAATAAATAAATAAATAAATAAATAAATAAATAAATAAGATGACTTGTATAATTTTAATCAAAAACAATGTACTCAATTTTACTACACTGAGATGCTAAGTTTCAAACTGTGTCTGTGCTGAAAGAACAAATTTCAGCGAATAAATTTTTAGTGAATGGGCATATGTTTGTTCGTTTAAGTACACAATCCTGAGATTTGCAAAGAATTTATAAGGTATGTGGGACCTTTAGGAATGAAAACACTTGTACATTCATGGAATTACTTCTAATTGGTACCAGTTCCTTAGGGTGACTCTTAAAATACACAACCATAGATTACAGAATTGCCACCAAGAGCTTTATCAGTACACAGTGCAGGTGCCGTACACAGATTAAACGTGCAGCAGCACAGGGGATGTAGTCATCACCATGTTCCTGGCAGCGGCATCCGGCCGGCAGTCTAGAACTGGGGATGATTATAAAAAAGGAAGGGTTTCCCTAGGGTTGCCAGTGGTTAGAGGAAGAGGTGCCCAATTTAACAGTTTGACCCCTGTTTGGGGAATTGCAGCGGTAGAACATCCTGAAAACTTTTATTCTTTTTGATGGTATCCACAAGTCTAATTTTGATTCAGTTACAGAAAAATTCATAAAATCACATGACCTTATACAATTGTATACTGTTTTTACAAAATTGGTAACCTTGACTGTAGATTTTTTACTGGTCATTTTACAAGTTATCATCTTCCTGTCTCACAGTATAACTAACTTTTGGGAGCTGTAAGAACAATCTTGTACTTAGGTCTGTGATGTTAAATGTTTGACATATGTATAATGACAGGTCAGAAGAAGCAGAAATTAAACATCTACATTTTTATGATATGAAATGTGCTGTACTGGGAAAATGTGTGAGCAAAAAAGACGTTTTGGCTGCCTGCTTTGTTACTTTGCCTGTTTGAATTAAATGCCATTGGGTTTAACTTTAACTGTTCCTTGCATAGTTTGTTTTTAGCTTAATACTTTCATAAGATCAATTATTCTGTCTTACTCTTTTACCATACCATTAATTCAGCTCTAGTTTTCTTCTTCTCACCTTAGCTTATGCTGTTGGAGTTCCATTTTTTTTCTCTAAGTAACTGCTACTTGATCTTGTCTATCCTCGTACCAGCCTGCCATTTGTTAGTTTTTCTAGTGTGCATTGACAATTGTCCACCTAAGACTGTCTCCACCTCTGTTTTTAACATCCCCCATCCCACCTCTTCTAGGCTAGTTTCTTCTCTCTTTTGACTACCAGACTACCTTTTGTGGACAGTGTTTAGGATGATGAAGGTGGTAGACTATTCTTGCTTGAGAGTGTTTGTGTTTGTTTTATAATTTGGCTGTGTGTTCATTTACTAATTTTTTTTTTGCCTTATTTAAAACTATCAAGCAGTAGTTCTCAAACTTTTGGGGCTCAGAGCCCCTTTATGCTATTAAATATTCTTGAGGACCAATAACAGCTTTTGCTTCTGTGGGCCATACATATACTATGTAGTGTTTACCATTTGAGACATTTAAAAAATATTTACTTATAATAATGAACTCATTGTACATTAATACAAATATTTTAAATATATTATTCAATTTTAAAATTGAAGTATATATTTTCCAAAACAAAAACCAGCTTAGTGAGAGGAAGAGCATTGTTTAAACTTTTATAAATTTCTTTACTATTTTGCTTAGTAGAATTCTTATGTTCTCATATCTTTCTGCATTCATTCAGTTTTGCTATCACAGGTTATGTAGCCTTTTGAAAACTCCATTGTACACTTGTGAGACAATGAGAGTTAAAAAGGCAGGGAACAGCCCGGCCGGTGTGGCTCAAGTGGTTGAGCGTCGACCCATGCACCAAGAGGTTGCCGGTTCAATTCCCGGTCAGGGCACATGCCCAGGTTGTGGGCCAAATCCCCAGTGGGGGGCATGCAGGAAGCGGCCATTTGATGATCTCTCTCATCGATGATTCTATCTCTCTCTCCCTCTCACTCTAAAAACAATAAAGAAAATAAATAAAAAGGCAGGGAACAATTTAGCATTATTATGAAAATAGATTTTAACTGGAAGACTCCCTGAAAAGGACCTCCAGCCTGGACCATACAGAACGGCTGTAAGAATAATTTAATACTGTAATGAATGGACTTCCTGTGTTCTGGACTTTGTCTCTTGCTTTTAATGCTTGATACATTTTAATGTGTGTTGAATGGTTTTCTTATGTATATTAATTTACATTGCATTTCCTTTTAATAAGTTCTGAGTGAGATTTGTTTTGCTTGTGTCATTCATTGTCCTATAGGGTTATTTCTCAAAAGTAAGCCAATTTTCTTTTTTTTTATATAATGCGAAGTCAACAACTTAATTGTAGGAAAATTGCAATATAACTAGTATGTGTTTAACTGATATTGGCCAGTTTGGTCCTTGTAGAGAGCTGCATGTTAAAAAATAATTTTGTTTTTCTTTTTAATAATTATTTTTAATTTTTTTCTTCATTGATTTGAGAGAGAGAGGAAGGGAAAGGGAGAAAGAGACAGAAACATCAATGAGAGAACATCGATTGGCCGCCATCTGCCAGTACTGTTCTAGGTACAGTCGTGATCCCTGTCTATAGCAAGTTTATATTCTTGAAGGATAATATATAAACATCTGGAAAATCAAACAAGTGAATCAAAGCTTAGTTCAAGGTTCTGTTCCTCCACAAAGTATTCTCATACTTTTCAGCCACTGTTATTTCCTTTTTCCCAATGATGGCTGGGAAAGTATGAGAATAGTTTGTGAAGGGCGAGGGCCTTGAATTAAACTTGAAGAGTAGGAACGGATGGAGGAGAAAAGACAGCAGTGGGTACTCCAGGTAGAGTGGAAAATGGGAGTTTGGTGTCATAATGGGAAGGAACAGGACTCATTCCAGAACAAGTCAAGTATGGTCCTTTTTTCCCTTAGTCAGCCTGAATTTTAAAGGAATTACATGTAGTAATTAGAATTTAAAATTTCAAAGTAGACTTGGTACATATTTTATTACACAGAGAATAAAAATGTGATACCTTTGTGTAGTAAAGAATTATATTAAATGGTTTAATGCATGATAAAATAAAATTATTTAGCATTTTCAGTTTAAATTTTTATGTTGTGTGAGTTGTTCTTAGATAATTTTAGTTTTCAGAATGTCATTGACCTTCTCCTTATGTCACTAAGATGACAGAAGCTAAGGTAATGCTAATGAATCTTGGATGTGGATAGAAATCTTAGATCACCTTGCATGCTATTACAACTTTATAAGGTTATACTTTTAAGATTTGGTAGACTAGAACACACCTTCCATTTGTCTGTTTTTGGCTCTTGTAGGCATTGTGCACAGATTATAATATACACTGAGGCTGTTCGCTGTTGTAAATGGATTCTTTGTGTTGCAGCCTGAAAAGCTTGCCCTCCTAATTGAAAGTAGATGTTTTCCTTGCTAAAATAAGCTCTTTACATGGATTGCTTTATTTTAATACATAAGTAATAAAAGATAAGTACAAAAATGAGCAAAATTGAAGGGGCTTCTGCTTCTTAGGAAATGAGGTGCATGTGAAAACCAGGGCAGATTGTCTATCACTGTAATAAAAATAGACTTTTCTAAACTGGCCATTCACCATATCAGCTATTTTTATAACTTTTCTGTTTATTTTTCAGCTTTTTTAATCCAACTCAAATGAACTAAAACCAGAAGATTTTAAAAAATGAAGTAATATAAAGACTGACCTTATCTCACTCCCCTCCTTGCTTCTCTGCTCATCTTGCACCTGTCTGCTCTCACCCTCCATGTTCTCATCGCTGTTGGTGCGGGACTCCACCGCTCCTGTCATCTGGATCGGCCTTGCGTTTCCTAGATCCCAGCCAGCTCTCCTTCAGAGCCCATTCTAGTCGTGTTTCTCCACTGGCTTTTTATTTTGTTTTGGGCTTGCAACTAGGTGCTTTAATTTTATTACCATACTGTGTTGCTCCCCTGACTTTTTGTTGTTGCTTTTTTACATTCTCAGGTCTCATATTTAATTTTGTACTACCTTTTGTGAAATAATATTGCAATAAAATTTACATTGTTTTAAATGGTTTCAGATTTAACTAGTTTTTGGATAATATCTTAATCCAAACTGAAGTTTAAATTTTAGGGGCTACAGAATCACTTTGGAAACCAAATATATACAGTTTCATCAGGTTATTTTGTACTACACTAGTATAACATATTGATTAAGCTGTAGTTGAGAGATGTGGGCTTTTTGTTTTTCCCCGTCACTGGAACTGTAGCCCAGAAGTTGTTTTGCTCATGAACTGTGGGAGCATCCTCTATGCTTTGCCTACCCAAGCGAGCTCAAGGCCAGTTGAGAGACTTATGGACTGAAAATGTTAGGCTGCTTTAAAATATAAATATAGAAGAGAAATGGACTCTTTACTGAATAAATATTATTGACATCTAATTTTGATGTACCTAGACTTTTGTTTGAGGTGTTAATATAAAGACTTACAAATAAATAAAAGAGCTTTACGTTTCGGGTAAGAAAATCCATATTGGAATGTTAAATTTCTTTTTTTTTTACAGAGAATACACATTGGCAAGTTGAGAGCTATCAACCTGTGAAACAGTATGCAGATTTGTGTCTTCTACTGTATCACATCTGCTAGAATTTTAATTTTTAATATTAGTTCTTTTTTGTTTTCTTTTGCTTAATCTAATTGCTCTGTGTTTTGTGTGTTCCCAAGTGATACAGTGATCAGTAACGCTTTCAGTGTTTATCTGCTTGAATTCTTTTGTGATACAAATGGTTCCATCTTCTCTTCTTTTCTCAGAAGGCTCCTCTTGGCTCTTAAAACCTGAATTCTTACTCTCATCCACATACCCTTTTCTGAGACTGTTTCTTTAGCATCTGTCTTGCTTTTTGGACTTTCTAACACATGGTTTCCTTGGATCAGAGAGGAATTCTTTTAAAGTAATAACAGTGATTTTACTTGAGGTGGGGAAAACGGTAATTCTAGCATGAAGTGATTGGGTATTCAGTGGAGGGGTTTTATAATCTTCTCTCATGAAAGACATTGACCTAGCCATGTTTTATTTTTAGACCAGACATGTACTTAGACCTTTTTGAATTTAGCTTGATTCAGATACTACAATTTGGAACAGAATCAATTTAAAATATGAAATTTTCGTTTACAAATGTATATAGAAGTATTTTTGTATACAAATATGTATTTCATAGCTTGCGAGTAGATTTCTTTAGAGGCATTTCTAAGAGAATTTATTAATGATAAACTAGGTTTGAAGTAAATTATTCAATTAGAACATAGTTTTTAGAACCTTCCCATAGAGAATTTGTTTTCTAGAATTGTTGGTAGAAACTAGGTTTATTCTTTATATTTTTGTGCTACCACATTTATAGCAACTAGTACATTTTAAAAACCTTTCTAATAGACAATTTTTAAAATCATTGACAGAAAGATTTATTCTTTACGTTTTTTATAGTACATTTATAGCAACCAGAATTTCTTAAAAATAGAAACTAGGCAAAATTACTCATTTTCAATGTTTTTATTACATGTCTGCATATTGAGAGAATTGTCTAGAAACCTGTCATCTTGGACATAAAGACATAAGTTTAGCATACTCTTTTAATTCTAAATTATTTGTGTTTGACATTTGATTTCTAATCGTCTAAAAATAGTATGCCAAATATGTTTCACTCATATAGCATCTTTTTTTTTATTAACTTCTCTAAACTGTCAACCTTGTTTTGAAAAATTGCATTACTTTTTCTTAAAAACAGTATGAGAAACCAAAAATAGCTTGCATGTGGTTTATTTTTAATTCCTTGAGGCTAGAAGGGAAGGGAGGGTCACAATTTGTTTCAACAATGAAAATATACTGCATGCAAAAAAAAATTTAGGGATAAAAATTAATACCAGGTTTTAAAGATGATTACCAATTAATATTATTTTGTAATATTATTTTTTAAATAACCCTTATTTCTAAATCAGTGAGATGTACATATAAAGTTATTTTTGTTTTTCTAGGTAGTTGGCAAAAAGGGAGAAAGTCACTAAGATACAAAGGACACTGGAAGACCACACTGCAAACAGATCTACAGCTCCTGGATAACTGCTTGATTCTCGCCAGAGACTGTCAATATTCCATTCATTGCCATTACCAATAATAAATCATTGCTTTTGTTCAGATGATATCACTAGTGTTTCTATTGTAATCTTGATACATGCAGTTGTAAATAAAAGTCATTACTTTTGCCAAGCTTAATTTTGTCATTCTAAATAAGTATTTTCTCTCTCCATTTATCTGAATATTGGCCGGCTTTCAATTTTAGAAGAGACTTTAGTGTCAGGTAGCATACTGAGCTAATGCCAGTCTCTTTCCGGAGGAGCAAACTGTTCTAGGGAATTAAAGAGTATGTGTGCCCTCATGTGTAGACATACAGAGCAAGTGAGTTTGATAAATGGGCTTGGAACAGCTAACCGTGTTCAAATGAGTAGAAACTCATGTTTATTGAAGGGCATTTGGGTACCTAGGCTATAGAAATTACTCAATTTATAAACTACCAGAATAAAACAAGTTTAATGAGATTTAACTGTTCTCACCTAAAATTTTTAGTTCATGAAAACAGATTTTAATCCCTTCTGGATAAACTTTAAAAATTTGAGTCAACCATTTTTTTTTTACTAATAGAGGTATGTTGTAATTCGACAGTAGGGAAAAAGCAGAACTCAGAATTCATGAAGCAACATGAATTAATAGCTTCTAATCAAGTATTATTATTAGCTACTAAAAGATGCAGTGTAAATATCCAGAGAACTTAAGGTTGAAAAGGAATTGGCCAAATGTATATGTTTAAAAGGTCTTTCACAAAAGTCTGGCAAAACAAAATACCTGTTCCTTATTACCTTTTTTAAATCTTAAAACTGTAATCTATAAAGTATTGGTAAATCTAATTTTTAATGTCTCTCTTTTTTTAAAATGTAGTATTTTGATTTCACTAAGTATTTAAAAAATACAGTGTTTGAAAAGAGTACGTCAGACTAATAGTTTTAATTCAGTTAATTAAATAGTACATTTGAAGGCATTTTTGTCTAAGAGTATGGTAGAGATAGATACCATTTTGCCTTTGGGAGACCAATGTATTTATACACATTTATGAAAAAAATCGTGCATCAGTTTTGTGTTAAAATAGTCACTTTCTGAACCCCAGTGTCGTCAGACATTTAGTTCCTCTGTATGTAAGCACATTAACTGGTTTGTGGTGATGTCTGTGTATCTTACGTATTTCATGTTTATGTTGCCTCGGGTCAAATGAAGGCAGAAGGGCAAGAAATAAAGTGTGTAACACTCCTTAATACAGACTATCTCAGATTAATCACGTCTGAAATTAAGGACTCAGTATTAAGAGTTTTGTTTTACACTTTGTACACTTAATCTTTTTGAGTAATTGTTAAAGTGCCTCATCTGAAGTATTGCTGACCTCATCTATTTATACTTGACAATTTGAGAATGCAGTGAAAGTAATTTCTAATTTGTAAAGGATTGGGCATCAGATTTATATTGTTTATGTGACTTTTCTATAACTCAATTGGTTGCATTATACAAACATTCCATAATTATTCAAATTGTAAATAGTGAAAAATAAATGTTTATAGGTAACTGTAACATGTTTCACTATGGGAAGTTTTACAAATAAACATGCATAGTTGACATTATTTAAATTACCAAGCTGAAATGCTGATGTTTTCTCCTAAAACTGTGTGTGTGTGTGTGTGTGTTCACACACACATATATAACATATATTACACTGAACTTTCCAGATGAATAAGAGCATTTGAAAAATGTAACCCTGGTTATGTTAACTGAAGCTGTCCATTAGATAGTGTTTTCTAGAAAACTAATAATTAGGTTTATTGTTGTCAGACATGGGCAAAAAAAAAAATCTCAAAACTTCTTTGATTTGCATAGTGTGTTCTGTTTCATGCCAGGATGCGTTATCTGATATGAAGCAACAGTGCAGGTCCCTGTCCCTATAGAAACAAAAGCATTTCCGTCCAGTGTTTGCCAGCAAAGCTGAAGGGGAGAGGTGGTGCACATGGGCGACCACACTCCGGCGCCCACAGCGGGCATTTATGACCTATTTTGCCCAAATTGCCCCCCAGTCTCATGTCTGAGGTAGCCACTTAACAATCTATTGGAGCTGACATGTGACTTGAAACCTGTTTCAAGGCTTGAGAATGTATACTGTTTTGTTTTGTTTTGTTTTGCAGCAGCAGCAGCATTTACAGGTATGCTGAGTACACCTCAGCATTTTCTATATGGCTGCCACTAATAGACTTGACATGAGGGGCTTTTTTAACCTAGAATGGTTCAGATTTCCCCAGGTTCTTATGGTCTAAGATAAATCTGTAATACTGTAATAAGAATAAAGCATTGGAGTTGAGTAAATGAGTCAACTTAAACCCTGTCCTTTGTAATCTTTAAGGAATGAAATAAAGGTAGGGCTTATCCACATTGCTTGTATTTATATAGTTGAGTTTGGTAGATTAAGTTTTGTGAAGGTATACATTTCTTCTGGAATTGGTCATTTCTAACCTTAGATTAAAAAAAAAAATTTAAAATAAGAGTAACTTCAAATAAGTTAATTCACTGAATGCCTTTTGAAGGAAAACTTGGAAAAATATTTGTGTTCACACAGCATTAATAGCTCAATATTAGAGGTGTTAGACTGTATTTTGCAAATTTTCCAAACACTTCATGTATGTTTTATACACATATAGCATGTTTCTTAGGTAAATGAATGTGAAGATACCGAATATTTTATTCCCTGATTAAGTGTTCCGTAAGGAAATATCTTGATGTCATTTTAAGCATATTTTCACATCATGTTTTATTTTTAGATCAATACATTTTAAGATATGTCCAGCACTATAAGAATAAGTGGGCAGAGTGGAGATTTTACAGGCTGGTAATATTATGCTTAAACTTTGTGGCCCATACAAAATTATTAATTGGAGAATGTAAATTGTGCCCATAAGATAATTTTAAAAAATTGGATATGCAACTAAAATTGTGCTTGAAATAATATTAAAACCTTATGATATGTAACCCTAAACCTGCTAGAGTATTTCTCTTTACACTTGCTACACTCTCTATAAGAGGAAGTTTAGGAATTAATTCTAGTAAGTTGAACAGGCCAGAGTCAGTTGTGAAAACACAATTTGTTGATTTATACTTGGACATGCATTTGAGATACTGGCACATGATGCTACTTAGGAGTAGAGTCGTTGAAGTTTGAATCTCTGCTCCTACTTGTACACTGTGTCGTTTTGAGCAAGTGACATTCTTACAAGCTTGAGTTTCTTGTTAAAAACAGGAACACATCTCTTAGGCTTGTTAGGAAGATTAAGTGTACATTGTGTCCGAAACAAGGATAAGTATGTAGCTTCTGTGTCCTGTCCCATCTCGCTGCCACTGATTTTTAGTCTGTCATTTGTTGCTTAGTGTAATGCATAAGGGTCCTAATTGTCTCCTTCTCTCTCACCTGGTCTTTGTAATGTGCCCTCCCATGGCTGCTGGTTATCTTTCCTTATCTGGGTCTTCATAATCTCATCCTTCCCTCTCCATTTCCCTTTTGTGCCGCACTGTACTAACTTACCAGAATGTACCCTGATACCTAATGCCTTCCACCTACCTTGTCCACCTGACACATTTCTTTTTATTTACAAGGCTCAATCCAAGCAAAACCGATAGAGGCGATGCATGGTGATTGTGTATGCCTTCTCTGTTGCTCTAGCACACAAATAGCCCTAGGTTATTTCAGCCTGGTACTTTCCAAACTACATTGTAATTTCTTGTACTCTTATCTGCTCTACTAGTTTATGAGCAGTAATGATTTGTCCATAGTACCAAACCAGAGTTACTTGGATCTCTGTCATCAGTAAACACAGTATTGAATAAATTCTCAGGTTCCAAGAGGAGATGCTTAAGGTAAATCTGAGAAATTGTGGGAGTTTGCAATTGAGCAAGGTAAGGAAGAGAATTTATCAGTAGTAAAGGAAAAGTGCATAGTGTGCACACAGAATGAGAGTTAAAGAGATTTCTTAGGTGAGGGAGAAGACAAAGCTGGAAGAACAAGTAAAAACCATATCATGAAGCTCCTCTTGCCGGGAGAAAGATCTATCAGACTTTCCTTAGTTTATGGGAGGTGAGAGACAGAGAGGAGTTTAATTACCCAAGTGTTAAACTTTCACAATTGGATGTAGAAATGTTGATTCTTAAGAAAAGCAGCAAGTTGGGAGAAGTGAAGTTGGAGAAGTTGAATATGATTTTAGATACATAGCCTTGAGCAGTGTATTTGAAATGCTTGGCTTTCAGATGGAAATGTCTAGTAGGTACACAGCAATGTGATTTTAGAGCTTAGGTCATCAGCAGAAGAGAAGTCTGGAAAGCAGAGTTTAATTGAGCAGGAATGTAGAAGAAAAAGCAGGAGGAGTTGGTAAAGTAAAGGAATTCAAGAGGGAATAGTTACCAAACAGAAATATTGAACTTAGTAGGGCTATTCAATTGTCAGTCCGTTGTGGAAATGATCTATAGTCCTTATGATAAGAATCATCGATTATATTATTCTCTTGGTTGAAGGGGAATTCAGACAGAATGATTCTGAAACCCCTCTGGCAACGAAATGTAATAGTCTATCATTGAACACAATTTTACATGATGATTAATAAGGCATGGAAATTGATGGCAACATTCCATAAGAGAATGTAAAACACTGCTTTGAAGTTGTCATTAAAGGCTGTAGTCTTTCCTTATAATCAGAGCTTTTTCTCCTGTATTTTGTAATTATAAATTTTGTTCCATCTGTCATTCTAGAACATTCTTAAAAGTTTCTAATTTCACCAAGATGATTCATCTGTCAGAGTCCTTGATGGGTCATTGAGGCTCCTTAGTCTCAGAGATACTGCAGCGCTTGTGTTCAAGGGACCCCAATTGTACTTACTACACACCCCCAGCGCAGGAGCAGTGATGCAGGCAGTAAGGGTATGCCTCAGCCGGGCCCCAACGTGCTGGTTCCGTCCGAGGGACAGTCGTAGCCCGATGTTACGTCACAGAGCCCACGCCATTCCGCTCACTTCATCGCATCACGTAGGCAGTTTACCCTCTCACATCATCACAAGCAGAAGGGCGAGTGCAGCACAATGAGATTATTTTGAGAGAGATCACGTTCACATAAGGTGTTACAGTATATTGTTATA